GGTCCAGGAGGACGTCGTTAGCGGCGCCAAAGCCAAAAGCGCGCCGGCGGCACACGCCGAGTTTGAATAATACGAGACGTCGTTGAAAGCGGCATGACAATGGGGATTCGAGGAATCTGCATGCGTTTCGCGTTTGCGTCTGGCGGAGTCGGGTCTATTTCCGGTCCACTTAACGACTGGCGGGCTGGCGGTGCGCCTCCGCCGCGCAGCGGGCGCAGCGGGCGCAGGTAGCCGCGAATCACGGCCGACGCGACGCAACACCGACTCGCGAGGAGCGAGGAACTTTGGCAGTCCGTCCGGCAGACGGCCAGGCCGAGGGCCGGGCCGAGGGCCGGGGGCAAAGCAGTAAAACAAAACTAAGTTTCCTACAAACTGGAACTCGGGGAGAGTGGATGAGGCTGCAGGCTTGCCTGCTGCTGCTGCCTGCAGTCGCGGCTGGGAGGTGCAGAAGAACATCGAGCGCGAGTACGGCGGCTGTACGTGCTCCGGGACCCGGGACGTGCCTGACGGCGTGCTAGCCGTTTGAACCACCACCGCGACTCGAACCCTGGCCTGGAGATTCGAAGACCGTCGCCTCCACCGTGGCCCATGCGAGCCGACGATGGGGTGGGGCCTTTGACGCGTCTGGCTGAGACGCAACGCACCCGATGCGGATCCAGCCTGTCTTCAAATACCCGGCCACCCTGCGATCGCCTGCCGGCCTGGTGGGCCTTCTTGGCGTGCGTACCGGCGTAGGGCGCCGCGCTGCTTTTGGCCGGCCCTGCACTGCAGGGCTTGCAGGGCCCGCGGGGCCGGCCCTCCCCCCTCCCCCTCCCCCTTCCCCGCGTTCGCCTTTTCCGCGACTCCCTCGGCGTGGCGGCGATGCCGTGGCGGTGGGAGGGGGCTAGGGGGCTAGGGGGCCGTAGTATCGACTCGATGCAGTCTGCGGCTCTCTAGACAACCTGGATCGCTTCCCGCATGAATCCCTCGTGTCTCCCAATAGGCGCGACCGGGCCGGACTGGGCGGCACGACACGGCACGGCACGACACGGCACGGCACACACCCGCATGCGCCGGCCGCCACGCCACGCACACGCACCAGAGTCGAGAGGGCTGCCAACCTCAGCCTGTCTACCAGTCAGTATACGGGCTGTGTTCTGAGGTTGGCAACCCTCTCGACTCTAAAGCCAGTCTAAAGCTCGGTGGGGATTTTCGCCTAGTAATTTGGCAAACGCGACGCCGGGACACGCCACGCCACCATGACGGCGGCATTCAGAGCGATTCAGCGCGATTCAGAGCGGTGCCGTGCCAGTCGTGCCAGTCCCGCGTCCAGTTAGACAGCCCAAAGGCCCAAAGGCGCCGCGTGGAGGGTCGGCCCAAAGGCCAGCGCGGCAGCGAGGCCGTGAGGCAGCGAGGCTCGAGCACTCGGGCCGGGCACTCGATTTCAATTTCCCATGCCGCTGCTGGCTTTCGCATAGAGCCGCCGGCAGAAAACGAAAATCGAAACGACACGGTTCCATTTTTTTTCAGCCCCGCTCACAGGAAGTGTCTCCGCGTGATCCGTTCTGATCGGCGTCCTTCCGGCCCGGCCCGGCACGCCCGCCGCCCTGATGTTGACCCGCGTAATTCGATCGGGTCCTGGTCGTTCCTGTCCATTCCTCCGTCCCAGTCAGGGCGTCGCGGAGTGTGGCGGGCGTTTTACTCGTTTTACTGCGCCCGACCGCTCGGCCCGTCCGGCCGTCCAGCCCGCTGCTGGGGTTGAGGATGGCCGGCGTGCCGCAGCGCCGCGCAGCGTGCTGTCCTGTCCAGCACGCGAGGAGGGAAGCGGCTAAGGGGGCACGCGGAGAGCGAGAGAGCGAGAGAGAGCCCCTCTACTCGCATCGCAGGCACAGGCAGGCCCTCGGCCCGAGCAGTCCCCCGGGCCCGCTCGCCCGGTCAATACACCCACACTCCCCGCGGACTTCCAGTGACGGCGCGCGGCGCGGCATGGCGCGGCGTGTGCGGGATGGCAGCCTAGCCGGACCGACGGCCGGGGCGGGCCGGGCCGGGCCGGGCCGAGGCCGAGGCAGGGGTGGAGGGTCGGGAGGGGCTTATGTTTGGGTTCCTCCACAAGAGACGTATAATACTTTCAAGGTATATATGCTGCGGGGTGAAGCGAGCTGGGCTCAGCTGGAGGGGCGGGGGCGGCGCAGGGCACAGCGGTGCCGGGGGCGGGGGGCGGGGGAAGGGAAGGGATAGGGCAGTGGTTCTCAACCTTAGGGTCGCGACTCCAAGCGGGGTCGCGAAATTTTTTTAAGGGGTCGCGGCGATGCTGGGGTCGTGTTTTAGGACGATTTTAAGCAGCCACTGCGTCTGATCCGAGGCGGGCATTTTGCTCCCTCAACGGGCAATCGGTCTTTGGACCTTCCTTTAGCATGCCTTTGTTACGGAGTGCAATTATCAGTCTTAGTTTGGGAGCAGTATTGTCTCAAAGTTGGCCGAAACGCTCAGAAATGTCTATGAAAAATCGTGTTTTGGGCCGATTTTAAGCAGCCACTGCGTCTGATCCGAGGCGGGCATTTTGCTCCCTCAACGGGCAGTTGGTCTTTGGACCTTCCTTTAGCATGCCTTTGTTACGGAGTGCAATTATCAGTCTTAGTTTGGGAGCAGTATTGTCTCAAAGTTGGCCGAAACGCTCAGAAATGTTTATGAAAAATCGTGATTTGGGCCGATTTTAAGCAGCCACTGCGTCTGATCCGAGGCGGGCATTTTGCTCCCTCAACGGGCAATTGATCTTTGGACCTTCCTTTAGCATGCCTTTGTTACGGAGTGCGATTGTCAGTCTTAGTTTGGGAGCAGTATTGTCTCAAAGTCGATCAAAACGGTCGCAAGTGTCTTTGAAAAATCGTTGTGACTATTTTGGTCAACTTTGAGACAATACTGCTGCAAACTAAGACTGATAATCGCACTCCGTAACAAAGGCATGCTAAAGGAAGTCCAAAGACCAATTGCCCGTTGAGGGAGCAAAATGCCCGCCTCGGATCAGACGCAGTGGCTGCTTAAAATCGGCCCAAAACACGATTTTTCATAGACATTTCTGAGCGTTTCGGCCAACTTTGAGACAATACTGCTCCCAAACTAAGACTGATAATTGCACTCCGTAACAAAGGCATGCTAAAGGAAGGTCCAAAGACCAACTGCCCGTTGAGGGAGCAAAATGCCCGCCTCGGATCAGACGCAGTGGCTGCTTAAAATCGGCCCAAAACACGATTTTTCAAAGACACTGCTGACCGTTTCGGCCAACTTTGAGACAATACTGCTCCCAAACTAAGACTGATAATTGCACTCCGTAACAAAGGCATGCTAAAGGAAGGTCTAAAGACCAGTTGCCCGTTGAGGGAGCAAAATGCCCGCCTCGGATCAGACGCAGTGGCTGCTTAAAATCGGCCCAAAACACGATTTTTCAAAGACACTGCTGACCGTTTCGGCCAACTTTGAGACAATACTGCTCCCAAACTAAGACTGATAATTGCACTCCGTAACAAAGGCATGCTAAAGGAAGGTCCAAAGACCAGTTGCCCGTTGAGGGAGCAAAATGCCCGCCTCGGATCAGACGCAGTGGCTGCTTAAAATCGGCCCAAAACACGATTTTTCAAAGACACTGCTGACCGTTTCGGCCAACTTTGAGACAATACTGCTCCCAAACTAAGACTGATAATTGCACTCCGTAACAAAGGCATGCTAAAGGAAGGTCCAAAGACCAGTTGCCCGTTGAGGGAGCAAAATGCCCGCCTCGGATCAGACGCAGTGGCTGCTTAAAATCGGCCCAAAACACGATTTTTCAAAGACACTGCTGACCGTTTCGGCCAACTTTGAGACAATACTGCTCCCAAACTAAGACTGATAATTGCACTCCGTAACAAAGGCATGCTAAAGGAAGGTCCAAAGACCAGTTGCCCGTTGAGGGAGCAAAATGCCCGCCTCGGATCAGACGCCGTGGCATGTTAAAGGAGGGGTCCCGTGGGGTCGCGAAATTTTTCCTGGGGGTCGCGGAAATTTTTGGCTTCAAATTTGGGGTCGCGAGCCGAGAAAGGTTGAGAACCGCTGGGATAGGGGGAAGCCAGTCGGGCGAGGCGAGGAGGTGTGTTCCCTGCCCTGGGTCCGTGGGCCCCTCGGTCGGCCGGTGTCGCTGGCCCGGCTGGCCCGGCCCGTCCGTTCGCCGTTTGGCCGCCAAATCATGCCCCGCGCCCCGCCCTTGCATACTTAACGCTCCCGCACAAAGGCTGGGGGTGGAGGGGTGGGCGCGTGGACCACGTGATAAAAATAACGCAGTGGCGGCGCGGCAGCGCACCGTGCGCAGCAAAGGCGCTACCTCCGGCATCATCATCGCGGTCCAGAAATCGCCGTAAAAAATACAAATGTGCGGGCCGAGGCCGGGGCCGAGGTCGCGCGCGGTCAGTGCGGGTCGGCGAGCGAGTGCTCCTCGCTTACCGTACCCCAAGCCCCGAAAAAGGGAAATGGAGGAATTTGTGAAAGGCGGGGATGTTGTTTTGTTTTATTCATTTTTCGTTTCGTTTTTTGTCCGCCGAGGCAGGAAACCAACGTCCACGCCTTTGTTTTTCAGTGGACCTTTAACATTCCCCCCTCCCCCAAACGGCCACCTTTCCATTTAGCGCAAAATTACGCCGCGCCGTCCAAATCCCCTGGTTTCATAAAGCACGCACTGAGGGCCCCGTCGTGGGGCTTCCGACCCGGAGTGACCCCCCCCCCCCCTTTCCTCTGCCCCATCCACTCCCCTCACCCCCTCACTGCGCACGCGTGACACCGAATTCACGTGCACCGGGGCGGAACGGCGGGAGCGGCGGCAGCGGTGAGAGCAGCACGCACGTGACGTCACGCCAACCCCTTGACCCATCGCTTGCCCTCCCACACGCGCACGGACACACACACACACACACACACACACCACACACACACACACACACACACACACACACACACACACGCACACGGCGGATAGGTAAACAAAAGTCCGACTGTACCTGTGTGGTTGCCGTCGTAGTCCTGGTCGTGGCCCTCGGCGGGCGAGGGCCCGTCGTCGTCGTCGTCGTAGTCATCGTGGTGGAGCGGCGACCCCCCCGACGAGGCCGCCACCAGAGCCGCTGCCTCCGGGGCGTCCGGGCCGTGCCCGACCTGCCCAAGCTGCCCCTGCCCCGTCATCGCCCAGGTGCGGCACAGCAGCAGCGCGAGCAGCAGCAGCCGGCCTGGCAGTCCTGGCGGGGGCAGCCTCCGGGCCGCGAGCGCCGCGAGCCTCCGGGCCGGGGCGGGGGCGGCGAACATCTCATGGCTCACCTGTGCACGCCACGCCACGCCACGCCACGCGCCCCGACTACGCCACGCCGCGCATCGCCCGCGTGCGGTACGTCACGCGCGGTACGTCACGGCACCACCGCCTGGTCCTGCGCCTCCTGCACCCTCGGCCTGCCTCGGCCCTCTCGGCCCCTCCGAGCGGCCGTGCATCGACGGACTGAGCTGAGCTGGTCTGCTCCGCGGGGCTCCGCGCTCCGCACAGCATGCTGCTCCGCCGCCCACCCCCGTCCACGCCCCCGTCCACGCCCCCGTCCACGCCCCCGCCCTCGGGCCCCTCGCCTCGCCACCCCCTTGCAACCCCCAACACCAACGCATGCGCCCCGGGCCACGGCTACCCAGGGCAGCCAGGGCGGACGGGCCGCGCCGTTGTAGGGCGCGCCGCTGGCCGGGGCCGGGGCCGGGCACGGCGGGGAGCTTCGGGCACGACGCGGTGCTCGGCACGCTCCAGACACCCGGGGCTGCCCGGGGCTGCCCTGGGCCCGGGGGTACTGTCCCGTCGAGATTGGGGCCGAGTACAGTAATTATGAGCCCCACCGCCCCGCCGTGGCGCCGGGCCGGCCGGGCTAGAGAGACTTGCTGCTTCCAGGCTCTAGAGTTCTCTCTGGCTGGGCCAACCAAGGGATTCTGAACTTAGCTCTCTCGCACTCATGGGGTCTGCCGGAGGGGTGCGAGAGAGACAGAGCGAGGGGCGTGTCCGACACTGTCGAGACGATGGACGACGTTGTCGTGCGTGTCGGGGCGACTGGCCGGGCGACTCCGACTCCAAGGACTCGTTTCCTTGCTGCCTCTCTCGCAAGGTGACAGCTGATGTCTGCTCGCTCTGCCACGGCCTGGCCACGGCCAAGCCACGGCCGCAGCTCTGGCGCAGAATGCTTCTGTGGTGCGCCCCTCAAACTAGGCAAATCAAGTTACAGCTGACCCGCCCAGGAGGGCCATGCGTTGGACCGACGAAGCGGGGGGACTTCCCTCGCAGTGGTCCGTCCCGCCTCAAAGCTGGCTGGAATCGATAAGACGTCTCCGTCCTTCTATTCCTGGCAGGGAAGCTCGCGACGGTCAGTGACCACGCCGTGGATCTTCCGCGGCTGCGCTCGAATCTTGAAGCACCAAATCGGACTCCACCGGACTCCCTGCTGGACGCCTCGCACTCGCACCACGCTCTGCGGCTCTGCGGTTGCGGTCGTTACAAGTTTTTCTCTTTCCTCTTTTTACAGGCGCGATTCTCAGTCACACGCGAAGCGATTTAAAAACGAGACAGGCCGTGTGGAAGACAATCGTTCCACGATGGCGCGTTCCAAGCTCCAAGGACACCGTCATGATGGTGTGGCCGTGCGCCGCGTGCCGCGTGCAGCAGAGACATCCTCCAGGATGTTTTTGTGCTTTTTTGCGTCATCACGAGATTCTCATACCCGCTCCCAAACGGTGTGGACTCCGGCCACTCTCCGGCCCGCTCCGCTTCCGCCTCTCCCCTCTCCGCGGTCACTGCGTCCGACGGGACCGGGGCGGACGGACGGACGGACGGACGACGGACAACACGACAGAACACCGCGGGAGCTGGGCCAAAAATAATTGGCAAAATCTAATAGTCTCTTGTTCGTGTTGGGCCTGCCAGTGCGTTGTGAAGAGCAGTGCGGAGTGTTCGTCTTGTCCGAAAGCGCCGGTGAGGAGATAGCGCAAGCGCAGTGTGTATGTATGCCGAGCCGAGGCGTACTGTACTTACTGCACTGTACTGCATAACCCTTCCCCGCTGTCATGGTCTCGCTGTCAGATTCTGCGAAAGCTGTTCTGTTCGTCGCGGATCCTACCGACCTTTGCTCTTGCACAGTTTGATAGTCTCACAGAGCCGCTCAAGAAGTGCCTTTTACATTTTCTAAGTGTCTTGCGTGCGTTTTTGAAAGAATTTGGATTTTTATTGGAGGGCTCTTGCAGTCCACTCTTTCTTGTTGTTGCCATTTTTGATACCAAGTTGTGTTCTCTTTTTGCTCTTTCAGAATTCACATATTTCACAATGGCAACCTGCCGAGAAGGATTCATCACCCTCAATTTTGTGCCAACCCATGTAATGACATGGGGCGGTTGGATTGAGGATTCGCCTGAATCGCCATGGAAAGAAATTATTGTAATGTTTCCTGGAAATCCTGGCGTTGTTTCATTTTACACTGAATTATGTGAGCAACTCTATGAAAAGATGAAAATTCCCGTATGGGTTGTTTCGCACGCTGGCCATGAGCTACCACCTGATGACAGGTAATTTTGTAAGCATAGTGTTGCGCCTCTGCCGTTACTTTTCTCTCTTACTCATTCATGTTTTTCAATTTTAAAAATAAGGTTGATGCCTAACGAGAACAATAATACTCATTTATATGATATTAATGGGCAGATAAAAAACAAGAAGGAATTTATTCGACGATTTGTTCCTGAAAGCTGCAAAGTTCATCTTCTAGCACACTCAGTCGGTGGTTTCATAGCTTTAGAGCTTTTGAAAGACGATGATGTAAGTGTGTGAACCAAGCCACTAATTTTTTCGATTACTGTTTAACCCGATTTTCACTGTCATTTCTTAAATTTTCAGGTAGCTGATAAAGTACAACACTCCTATCTCCTCTTTCCTGTGCTGGAGCACATTGCTCAAACTGTTAACGGACGTTTTCTTCAAAATTATGTTTTGAGGATTCTTTGGCTTGTTTACTTTGGCGCAGGATTTTTCTTCATGCTACCCAATTTTCTTAAAGTTTTGCTTCTTTCAATTCATGCTAAAATTGTTGGAATGAGGTTGACCCCATTGAACAAACAATCCATTATGTTGCTCATTAATCCAAAAATTCTGCGGTCCGTTTTCAACTTGGCTATTGATGAACTGTCAGTCATAAATGCATTGGAAGTGGACCTTATAAAAAAGAGGAAAGATAAAGTTCTTGTATACTACAGTGACCATGACAACTGGGCACCTGTTTCTCACTATGAGAATCTTGTGAAAGCTGTTCCAGGAGTTAAGGCAGAAATTTGTAAGAAAGGTATTGATCATGCATTTATGTTGTATAAGCCGTCATCATTGATGGGAGATGTTCTCATAGAGAGGATCAACAGAAACAGAGTAAAATAGGTGAACTGTTTCCTTTTTCTTAGTTAGAGTTTAAGGATATATTTGCTCAATAATTTAGCCTGTATATGTACCCCTTAATGGGACCAATGTCAGTGAAAACTTTTTCTTATTTTCCAAGAATTTGCTCAGTTTGGAGTTAGTTGGTCCTCAGACAGTGATCAGCATTACTTGAATTTTTCACTCGAAACCATGTACTTTTGTTTTGCCTTACGGGTACTTTTAAAGTATTTATCAGTGTTATCTTTTACAAGTTTTTGACATTTTAGTTTGTATGCAAGGATCTAATGTGATCTCATGTATTTTATAGATTACCTGCAATAGGTCCCCCCAGTGGAAATGTTACTTTAAGTTTGGAGGAGGGCTTTACCATTTTGCTGGTATTTTTATGCTTTTGATCAATTTTTTTAGGGTAATGCACTTTTATATGTGATTTCATCCATGATTTGGAAAATAAATAAGTCTGCTTTTACAGTAACAGAGTTTATTATATTCATCAGATACAAAATATTAATAAAATAGCAAACAGAGGAAAGGGAAAGAAAACTTTCAAAGCTACTCTTAGTACTTGATTTATTTTAGTACAGCTGAGACTCAATCACCCTAGAAAGACAAGCACGTGTTTTTTTAAAGAGAAAAGTAAGCTGGAAAGTTTTTGAGCGTTTTACATTGATCTTCATCTAACACAAAGGCACTATACTCAATGTGCAACCACATAACTAAAACAGGAAGTAAAAGTAAAACCTACATCATTGGAATGATTGGATCAATACTCCAAGAAATTTGTGAAAAGCCTCAACTCTGAGTTCCGTAAATTTGAGAAACTGTCAGTGTCACTATTAAAAATACAGGGTAGATGTGCTAAAACTTTCTGGTTATTGCTCTCAAATGCCTCTAAAGCTACTTCCTTCTCATATACCATAAAGGGATGCTATTTTCCCTTCCCATTTTCTATGAACATTCTCATTTAGAGAATCGCACACTTGAAACAAGATTTCAACATGGTATCAACATAATTTACACCCTGTAGCTTTGGTACACACTCCAGTAACTAAATAAATAAACAATGTAAAGTGTTTGACTGTATCTATGTCGATCATCACTCAGGTGAGAAATAGTGAAATACATACATACATTTCAAGACAATGAATCACAAGCTTCTTAACATTAATGTTTAATGAGTTATTAAAAATAACTTGACAGAAATTTTTTAAGAAACTAATCATGGAACACTAATTTCTGAAATTCAGTGTACATAATGTGTAATTAGTCAATAATCAACATGAATGTGCGTCTCATACATTGCAATCTAAGAGTAGGACAAGCAGTGCAAAAGAGTCAAAGAAAATAAAACTAAATAATGACATAAGGACAAAGTGGACACTAGATAACTGCAAGAATAACTAAGTGATCAACTAAAAACAAAGAAAAAAACTGGAGAAAAGGGGTAAGAGGCTCATCAGCTTCGAAGCAAATCCTGTAAGCACAGGATGACATTGGTTTCCAAGATCTTAAGTACTACAAAAAAATAAAAATAATGGAAGACAACACATTAATACCATTTTGTATACAGACCTAGCTAGCCCATCACACAGCCATTCAGAATTGAAGAACAATGTTGCATTGCCTAACCAGGAAAAGGAACTGTGTAGAGAAAAAACCCAGAAGATAATGGTACTATGCATGCCAGCACATTTTTCACTGAAAGAGAGAAACAACTCTTCTGGGGGCCTGAATGACATACCATCAGTCTTAAGACATTGTTTGCAGGAGGCAAAAAAGAAAAAAAGGATATGCATAAATCAAAAGGAAGAAGCTTCTTACATTGTCAAGAGCCAAATCACTTGGGATAATTGAAATGCAAAAGCAACTATTGTCATGTTACAGTCATCTTCAGAAAGGCTGCTACTGCTGTTACCACAGGAATACATCCAAGATGGATTTACATAACGCACCACAAATCATGAGCCACATTTGGGAAAACATTACAATGACCTTACTAAATTTCTAGCAAGAGAACAAGTGTCATGCATATCTGAAGACTAGATAAGATTTCAAAGATTTTTTTTAAAGGGAGACAGAATGAAAGAAAGGTTGAATATTGCAGCACTGCTACAACACCTCAAATATGAGAGTACAAAATGACTCTGACAATGTATTGATCTTCACCCACACAATCACAGAGTACTAATTGAGAGTACTGCATAGAACAAAATAACAAGTAGCCATGGTAACACCAAAATAAATTCACTTCAACATTAACAAAGCTTATAAAGGCTACATCACAATTAATTTATGTCTTATATAGGATTTCAATTTCATACAAGAAGGCTGTTGCCAATATTGAAAGTTTGGTATGGATGCTAGAGCTAAACAAACCAAAATTAAGAAGGCTTTCTCAAGTAAAAATACACACAGAAAAGAGTAAAATTACCTCAGTAGAATGTTACTATGTCTAAAAAAAGCCTTCATCCGAGAGTTAGCAACAACTGTCTTGAAAAGCATTAAGCAAAGCAATCCAAAAATATTTGACAGAAGCAAAGCAAAGAAAAACATTAAACAGGCAAAGTAACTTAATTCTATATGTGAAATTGAAATCCTCAATTTAGATAGGGTCTACTCACTATCCTACATGCCTATCCTCACATAACTTTAAGCCCTCATAACTGCAATTAGAATATTAAATTACAAAAATCATTTGGTTGATTACTAGTCCAAATCAACAACATTCATTTACACAATAAAATTTCTAGTCAAGTATACAAAAGATATGCTTTAAATATTTATTGCAGGTCTTCAACAATTATTAGACATTGATCCAATTATCTGCTGCCTCAATTTTCATGTTCTGCAGTTCTTCAATTCAAGATATGAACCCCAAGTGGAGCTAGACCTTGAGTTAGAGAGTGAAAAGAATGACAAGCAGATTTTGGTTATCTCAGAAAATTAGTAATCAGCATACATATAACAATAACAGAATGCAGAAGCACTAGTATTTCCGAGCAAATGGTTTGCTCAAAACTGAACTCAACTCCTAACCAACAAGACACATAATAAAATGCAGAATAAATCTTTAGCGAGTTAAATACTTTAGATCCTAAAGCAGTATTTTGAGGCTTTTGTGCCAACAGACAAACTTAAGAGCAGACAAAAACTTAACAAGATATGCTTCTTTTTAAATTTAGTGTATCAATGGACGGCAAACTAATTTCTTGAGCATGATGCACAAGGGTTTAACAAGTGTACTTAGCAGAAGACATGAATGTAACAACATGAAACAACAGTCACAAGAAATAGAAGCAGATAAACATTTATTAAACCCAACAAACAGATCTTTTATTTATCATCTGACTATATGTTTAGCTGCACAAGGATTCAACAATTACATATGTATACGGTTCAGCTTTAAAGTTTGGTTCAAACTAGATTGAGTTGATAGTATAATTTAACCATATACCTTGTTCTCTAGTCAACCTTCCAAACAATAAAAAAGGGTGCATTCTACTATGTTTACAAAATTACAAATACAGTATGTCTACATAAGATATGCTGATAAAATGAGCATGTCATGAGATACTCTACAAACAATGGTCCACTCAACAAAGTTTTTAAAAATCACACAGTCTTTTACAATGGTAAATGATCAACAACTACACCTATCATCTCACACATGTGTCACTAAAACTATGTGCACAGCAAGCACCAAACAAAAGGAAGCACTGGCATTGCATGACAATGTAGTAACTACATTCTATTCTGAATATCTTGCATGTAGTTACTGTTGTTTAGGAGCATTTGGGGTTATTAGAGTTGTGTCTTCATTGCAGCAGTATTGTGAGTACCTAGAACAAGTAAGGGAAAATTAGGGAAATATTCTAGTCAAGCCAAGTCAGTAGAACTGCCCTGTCCAAATTAACCCAAGAAATAAAGAAGTAAAGAAGAGTGCTCAGGTAACAGGGACTACCAAAATTTGATTTAAAAATATCAAGGGACAGACAACATCCATGTCTTAACTGGGACTCGAACCCAGACCCTACAAATTGAGGGCGACGCTTGAGACTGCTGGACCTTCTTACCCTGCATGGAAGCAAGTAAAGATTGCAGTCAAAGGTCAGTGCTTTCTGATGTGCTGTCTGTGCTGTCTACTCTTGGCCGGCCAGGAGGTGGGGGTGGGGGGGGCTGGGGCCGAGTAGTGGGTCGCGGAGTACGAGGCCATGACCCATACTGACCACCGCAAGGTAGAGTGTTTTCGCCTGACACATGAAAGGGTTGCAACACTCAATGCACAAACATGCCAGTATCAATGATCAATTTGTAAGCAAAAGTTATATTCAAAAACAAATATGTAAAAATAAAAATTAGACACATGTTTTAAGAAAATTATTGTAACAAAAAATGCAACACACAACAATCACTAATAATAAATCACACGCTAAGATAAATGTGACGAATTTCATAATAAGAGACTGAAAATGGTGTGAGACTCATATGAACTTACCAGATTCTGAATTTGCAGCATGACTAGTGTGCTGGGAACTGACTGAGACTCTCTCTGCTGCAACAGGCACTTCTGGTTTTGGCGGTCGCTCTGGTTTATCTACAAACAGAAAATCAATATTTTTATTTTTTCAATGAAGAAAGCCTCCTAACAAAACATCGAGAATAATGATTGTAACTAACATGGATTTGCTTAATTCAAATGAAAAACTTACCGCCACTATGAATTGTCAGTTGGTTTGGTCTTCCACTCAGAGAAGCTGATCTTTGCAACACTTGGTGCTCTGATGTAGAAGAAGCACAGTCTGTCTTGCCACCAAGGTGTACAACAGAAATTTGTTGTCTTTCATTAGAATTAGGTACCACCTTGTCCAACACAGCATCACCCTTGAAACAAAGGTTCAACAGAAAAAAAGGATTGGTACAAGAATTGACAAACACGAGAAGCAAATGAAATTATATTGAGTATTATTACCTCGCTTGCACTTCCAGACGTGCCTAAGAGATTTGTTTCTGTAGAGCAAAACATAGAGCTTGACATATTTGTTACTGTTGAGCCAGATTCTGAGGCTTGTTTGTTCAGACGAAATGAAGAGCTAAGTGGGCGTTGCAATGTTGCAGGGCGTTCTGGAATGGCAGGCTTGTGGCTAGGATCCCCTCCTTCTACTGGGTTGCGTCGGAGAGTAACTGTTGCAAACTCATCTTCTGCTGTTGCTAGAGGAGCAAGACCGTTGCCCAGATCTAAACACACACAAAAAGAGAAAGAGAAAAAAAAAAAACAGATTAAATAAAAATGTCCGCCTCTAAATTATATTTAAAATAAAAAAGAAAGAAAGCAAGGGTCTTACTCTGGTTTTCACTCTTGTGCAGTAAAGTTGTTCTGGGGGCAGCAACAGGTGTAGGTCTTTGCAGTTTTTTCCTTTCTAAAGTTCCAAATGTACTGTCGCTGTTAGCAGCAGTACCTGCAGAACTTGGTTTGTCATCACCATAATTGCTAATACTTCCTGATTGGTTATCACAGACAGAAGTTGAAGAAACAGAGGGGGAATTTGATGACTCAGTTGCAAAATGTTCAAAACCAATTGGGGCTGCAATCTTATGAGAATCTTTATCTACCACAGCATCCATCTGAAAGAATTGAAACGAAATGAGATGAATTTAAAACTACTTAGTGTCTGCATAGTAATAGAAAGGTCAGGCAACAAAATTTACCCCAACTGTTTTTGGAGAGGAGTCAGCATTGGATGAAATTTGAACAATGACTCCACTTTTGACATTCGGACAAGAGGTGGCTTTCTCTGAGGTGAGAACTGGTGGAGGAGGTTTGGCAGGTTTTTCAACAAGTCTTGTTATTGGAGGTGCATTTGCAGGTGGTGGTGGCTTTCCTGGTTTTTCAGTTTTAGCCGATGTTGTAACAGTTGCACTGGAATGGGAATTGGGAGTGGCACTATTTGCAGGCTTGACTGCAGAGGAAGTGACAGGTGCCGTATTTCCAGAGGAATGATTTGTATTTGCCATAACTGGGGGCACTGGTGCAACAGGCTTCTTTTTATGGCGAGTGGCAGGTTTTGGGCTGCCATGAGGAGGGCTGAAAAGATAAAATAGCAAAATTGATAAAAACCATGCCTTAGTCACCAACAAACAGGTTAACTGCATTATGTATTTGATGAGTCCCACCTGTTATTTAAGTCAGAGAGACTGCTATTTGACTGAGTGCGGTGCATATCACCACCTACTGAAGTATCAACCAGTGCTGCATCAGCACTGCTATTTCGAGTGTGACCAGGATGAGGAGTGTTTGGGATACCATTCATAAGCTCAGCAGCAACTTCACGTGATAGGGTAACATAAAAATCAACCTCTCCTGGGAAAAACCAGTCAGCAAAACTGACTAAAGCGTCAACAATTACACTGCAAAAGTTTGCAGTGCTCATGTTCATGCCTATACTTGTAGCATCTTGACTACATGTTGGACTCCATATCAAGTTGGGTGCCATGACTATTGCCACATTTTGAGGGCTCATTTTGTTCACATCTTGATTGCGACAAAGGGCAGAGAGAAACTTAACCAGAAAGCGGAGATTATCTCTGTTGGCCTCTGGCAATTTCTGAACAACAGACCACAAAGCCTGGAGGCGTGCATCATTGGATGATGATACCCTTGCTGCTGCCATCCACTCATCATAAAGGGAATATGTCATTAATGGCTCAGGTAGTTCTCTGAGGTACGATTTTAGAACCCCTGCTATCACATGAGGGTCTCTATATTCAAGAGCTGTTGGAAACGTTAAGCAGCCAGCATCCAAACTTAACTTCATTCGCCGTACTTTAGAAGAGCCTTAAAAGACAGGAAATAATGTTTTTGGTTACACTCACATAGTTAGTTTTAATAATTATTAACACACAACAGTAAATACAATTTCAAAATACCTCCAGCCACCCTAAAAAGTCCTTCTTCTTCCATACCAAGTTCCAGCAGGGTACAAACACACAGCTCAATAGGAAAAGCTATTTTCCTTGAAGTAACTCGAAGGTGTTCCTCTAGTGGTGTACCAAATACAGGTCTGATATGACTATCATCTGTAAATACAAAATAGGGCATTAAACTGATATGAAGGCAAAAAGGAGCAATCGAGTCAGTCTATCACCATTATACATAACAATTTCAACGACCAGGACTTACAGACAACGGCCTCCAAGTCAGGTAAAAAGTCTTCAAGGACAGACAGTGCTTTTTCATGGTAGGATTTTTGTAATCTGGCATATTCTACAATGGTTTTGGCGAGATCAGCTTCCCTGGATATTAATTGAAACATCTCAGATGCTAGCTGATCTCTGCACTGTTCCACTTTGAGTTCGGCATCTTCTAATTCCTCTCTGATAGAATCAACTTTTGATGTACCTGCTTGATTGGCGCTATGCTTCACAGCAGTTTGATACCTGCAACAAGGCAGAGGGATTTAGAAGTAATGTCCCAACAGTTTCCGTCAAAGAAACAACATTATCTCAAGATTACCTAGTACGAGCAGAATCCATATCTAAAATCAGTTTTGCTAAGTTTCTTTTCAGTTTCTGAATATTGGGTACTTCGCCTTCAGACACAGCATGCAGCAATGTTACAACTTTTTCTTCCACTCGTGCTTCATGGTCCACAACTTCATTTGCAAGGGCCATTTGCAATTTTCCACATTCCACAACAACATTCCTTTACAACCACAACATACATGTTAATAATTAAAACACCAAGTGCTACATTTTCAAAGCAAGGCACAAAATAAATTTAGCTCTTACCCAAGAAGTCCATCTTCATCATTGCGATCCCCTGATTCCAGCATTGACAAACCCAATAAATACTCTGCACTCCTTTTCTGTAATAAGAAATCAATCATGCTTGAACCAACCTGAGTTTAAGACATTGCGAGACAAAAATGACAAAGTCCTACCAGTCTTTTTTCGCGGATTGCGTTTGCATCCTGCCCTTGGGCCAGCAAACTGCTGGCCATTTTCTTGCTGGTGTTTTGGCAGGCATTGCGGATAACTTCGACTCGGCGATCAGCACCTTGAAGATCATCTGATAATACTTCTGTTTTTCCAGCCCTGTGGGTATTTTGATGAATGAGAAAAATCAGTTGGTAATAGCTTGAAACACAAAGAAAAACAGTTAAACAAAAGGAAAATTAATTTTACCTTGAAAAGGTCTGATCTGCCAATTGCTTCACTCGAAAGAATTGTTTCTTCATGGCGCTTATGACTCCACTAACTCACACAAAAATATACCATGACAACAATACCATTTGTCATAAAATTCCTGCACCCATTATAGACTTACAATGAGGCTGATTTATCATCCATCCATTGCAGCAACCTGAAGACAAGGTTACGATATCAAATAAAGATTAGCAGATACAAACAATTTAAAGTAAAGATAAAACTTGTGGTTTGCAACTTAAAGGCAGAATGTCAATTGAATTAGTCATGCATTCTTTCTCAACAGTGCACTGTTGAGAAAATATTTTCTGGAAACATCCTTGCTACACAGTCATGTGAGGGTTACAGACACATGTTCATGAGAACAGCTTACTTGGATGCACAAACAAGTGGCATGAATTAACAAGATGATGCCAATAAATCAGTTACTTTCGATTTAATAAGTCTGGAAAATGTCACTTAAAATGTGAAATGGCAAAGGTGAGAAGGTGTTGCAAACACATCATTGTTGACATACAACCAAAGTCAGTCTGACTGGTGTACTGGCGTACTTTTCCTGCGACTAAATCGTTATGACTGTTAACGAAGAATTTTCTAAAGTGCTTCCTAGTCGGAACAAAATAATCAGCGCGTTTGTCAAACAATCGTTAGGCTTAATGGGGCTTGGCAGGTAGGCTAGTGCCTGTTGAACACCTGGGGGATTAGTCCTTCTCAGGGCCGGACCTACAGAGGACTCCTCGGACAACTTACTTTTTCATGAGCACTCATGGTAAAGAGTTACAAAGTCCTTATGTCCAGGAAAGAAAACCAAAGAAAACCATTTAAGATCATGAACTTGATATGAACAGGAGATCTAGGCTCTGAGATTACCCTTCATTTTACCGTTCTGCTTTTGTTTACAGTGCAGCGGTGGGAGGTGGTCAGAGTGGTCACAAAACAGGGGGCATGGAAGCAGACGACGCGAGCAGACGGGCGTTGTTTGGACGTTGATGGACGTTGATGCAGCTCTAAGCCGTAACATTTGAATTTCAAAACTAGTTGAGCAGGTGTTTGAGCTCTCAGATGATTTAAATCCGACGACAGCAAGAACAAGAAAAGTAATGTTTACAAACAGCAAGAACGCTGCGCAGCAGAAGGCGGCGGTCTGCAGGAGAGCAAAACAAAATGACGGCGCGCGGAGGTCTCGGACGTGTTCTCTGTCTGTCGCTGCCGCTGTCGCTGTCAGTTGGCGGCCGAAGTTAATCGAAGATCGACTTGGACGCGAGCCCGCCTTGGCGCGCGCACACCCCGACGCAGCCATGGACCGCGGCTTCCTCAACGTCATCCTTCTGGGATTCGGATTCATGTTCGTGTTCACGGCTTTCCAGACCATGGGAAACATCGAGGTAAATGTGAGGCTATGTTGTCGTCTCGGCGTTCAGTAACTTGGTGCCGGCGTGAGACGTGTCAAGTCCAAGTCTCGCGGGGCGGCGGGGGCGTGCCGTGATAGCCACGAGCTCCGCTGCGCGCGCCTCCACGCCGCCCGCTGTCACTTCCCTCCGCGCCAAACCGTCGACCCGTCGCCAGGCCGTGCGACTTGCCAAGCAGGCTTTTCCATCCTAGAGCATTTCCCGGAGGCTGCAGAGCCACGCGAGGCTGCCACTGCCCGTCGTTGAGGACCAGGCTCCGCGAAGAACGCCGTGGCGCGGCCGAGCGTGCCGGCCGTGCCCATTGATTCGCCTGGTTAAAAATGAAGACGAATGCCGGAGAGCCGGCAGAGTGTCCGACCGAGCCGGGCCGGGCCGGGCGGTGGCGCGGGGGGGCACGGGGCGCCAGGCATTGATCCGCGAGGGACCGCCGCGCTGGCCGACCCGGACGGCGCCACGGCGCCAGGGCGCGGTGCAAGCCCCAGGGAAGGCCCAAGACTCCCGCCAAAACGGAGCGGAGCACCAATGCGACCGCCAGGGAAGTACGCTCACTGTAAAACGCGGTGCTTCGACGGTGTTTTCCCAGCGCAAGTGTGCTGTGCAGGACAGCAGGCTGATTCCGAGCGGGGGTCGGCGTGTGTGCGAGAGAGTCCTCCCGCCCGCGATGAGTCTTGTGGAGGGTGGCTGGCTGGTGGCTGGGGCAAGGGATGCGCCCCTGCCGCGTACTTTCTCCTTGGGCGTTGACGGGCGGCCCCCGCGGCTAGTCGCGCGGCGCTGCCTGGGCGCTGACATCGAGTGCAGTGTCCTGGGCACATGCACGGCGTGTGCAACGCGACGAGGAAAGCGGACGCGCCGTGCCTTTCGCCTCCGCCTCCGCGCAAATTCGCCACAATTCGGAGCCTCGGCGCGCGGGTTGCGTTCGACGATCGGGGGAAACTAGCGACGATCTTTCGCGCTGCCCGGCGCTGCCCGCCCCCCGCAGGCAGCAGGCCGATAAGTGCCGTCAGCAGACTGATTCCGAACCGGCTTTCGTCGCGCTGTCTCTCTCGCACTGGCGCGGTGCTCCGTACGGGTGCGAGAGAGACGGAGCGACCTGGTCCAGCCGCTCCTTTCTCCAGCTGTTCGCCCCTTTTGCAAGATCGATCGGAAAGTCAAGCGCACCAAGGCCGTGCAATGGCAATGGGCCTCGCTGCCGCGCCCCGGCCGCGCTCCGCAGTGCAGCAAAAACATAACCGGCAACAAAGTGATTACCGGGGCCACTGGAGTGCTGGAGTACGCAACGGCGCGCCGGCCGGCCGGGCCCGTGCATGCATGAGTTGAGGCAGAAAAGGAAAATGAATGAGTGATTGTTTTTGCGACCGTGACGTCACGACATTAACGGCGCGCCAAATGGGCGAAGATTGGCCGCTGGCCGCGGGGCACTGCAAGGCTGCAAGCTGCAAGGGCCGCGACTCCAGGCTGTCTGTCCAGACTGACTGACGAAACCCGTCCAGCGGGTGACTCATGTGGCCCGGCAGCCCCGGCAGTGCAGGCCGTGTGTCGGGGGGCGTTCGCGCCGCGGCCCCGCCCCGCGTGGAAAGCGCGCAGTTTGCGCCGCGATGAATGCCCCGCCCGCCGCCCCGCCCGCGCGCCTGCCGGCTGATTTGCCCAAGCAATGATGCGCCGCGACGCAGCCGCGCTACTAGGCCATCGAGTCGAGCTGAGGCTGAGGGATTTAGATTTCGACAGGCGCACGACACTTACACCGCGCGGCATCGTATCGCCTGGCCGTGACTTGCGGGCGGAGGAGGAAATGGCGGTGTTCGTCGACCTTTGGTGCCTTTGGCTCGCGCGCTGCCGACAAGCACGTCGTCCACGTCGTCCACGTCGTGGGGCTGGTGGACGGCGGGACGACGCCGCGGGAGGAATGACTAACTCGCCGCGTCCCTGAAGATGACCGCGGCGGCACGGGAAGAAAGCAAGAAAGCAGCGGGCTGGGGTGTCGTCGAACCACCAGTCCGCCCCGCCTCCCTTTGTCATCGTCGTCTTCCTCATCTTCGCAGCCGTACAGCATTGTTAATTAATCCTCCCTATCGCGAACGCGGAGTGCCGGCAGGCATTGTCCGGCCGATAGTGCCCGTCCGAACAACAACCGGTACTCGCAGCCACCGTGGTCACGTGTCCAGTGGGGCGCCGCCCGCGCCGCGCGCCGCGGGACTGGCTGCACGTGTGCACACGTGAGCTGGCCGCGCCGCCGGGCCGCCGGGCCCGTGCGACTGTGTGACCCTCGCCAAGGCCTCGGCCGCATAGAGCCTCGGCGCGCATGCTGCGTCGCTGCCATGGCGCGCTGCGCACCAAGGCCGCCAAGGCCACTGCCAGAGGGCGATGCCGCGTGCCTGGGCCTTGGCCCTGGGCCTTGGCCATGCCTCGGCGGTACCCACGGCCGCTCCTCGCGCTCGCCTCGCGCCTAGCTGCTAGTCCGGCCCGGCTTGCCCGGCCCGTGACTTTGGCCTTGACCCTGGCGGCGCGCCGTGGTTGTCGTGTCTATGTCCGTCCGGCCGTGCCGGGCGTGCCGCTGGGCAGCCGGACACCCGGACGGCCACACCCCCCGCCACCCCCGCCCGTCCTAGCCTAGGCCGTCCTCCTGGCCGCCCCGGCGACAAGACGCGAGCCTCCGCAGCCCCGGGTGGAGGGGCCGGCGATCCGGGCGGCTATGCCCCCTCCCACTCACCGGGACTGACCCGGCCCGGGACGGGACGGGTCCGGGGCCTTCTCTACTACCCCCTCTTGGATTCAAACCGGACTGACTGCTATTCTTTTACCTCCACGGCCTCCTCGTTGCCCTGTCGTGCTCTGCCCCGTGTGCGGTGGGGCGGTGGCGGGCCCCGGGATGTCCCGGTGTCCTCCGCTCTCGGGATGCTGCAAGTAGCAGGCCCGGCAGGCCTTTGCCTTTCTCCAGCTCCTCGATGACGCGATGACGGCACGCACGGCCCCGCCGCCCCGGCACGCCGCCCACCGGCGTGACGCCGGTACACTCGGTGCGCTTGGCCGCTTCGCCCTGTCTGTACTGTACTACACGACGCCGCGTCACGTTGTCGCGTGGCTCATTCCTCTCATCTCTTTTTTTCCGCGCGCCGCTCTCGATGGGGCGAGGCAGTCGCGAGTCGCGTCGCCGCGTCGCGCGGTTTCGTTACCTAACGCCCGGCCAGCGCGCCTTTTTCGGCCGCCGGCAACCTGGACGCGTTGCCGCTGCGGACTGATTCCGCGCACGGCTTTCGGATGCCGCGGTCCTGGCAGTGTAGTGGCCCCACCACTGTCGCCACACAAACTCGCTACGCCACCAAGGCATCTTTGAGCGTGTGGGTGGTGAGGCTTTTAGCGCCTGTGGGGTAGGCCTCCGCCCAACCCGGAACGCACTGGCGTGGAGGTGGCGGCCTACCTTGCCCCTCAACTTGGCAGGGGTGAGGTAGGCCACCGTCTCCAAGCCGGTGCGTTGCGGGGCGGGACGATGGCCTACCTCACAGGCGCTGAAGGGTGCTCGGTCACGGCCGCAATGCGAATGTCGCTGTCTCTCTCGCACCTAAACGGGATATCCCATGAGTGCAAGAGAGACAGCGACGAAACGACTGTTGCAATCAGTCTGCAGAGTCATCAATCAGCGCAGGCAAGGCGCGGCGCGGCCCGGAGCGTTCGACTCCACACCACTGCAAACTTTGCATCGGCAGGACAGCAGGCCGGCAGGCCGTTAAAAGTTGGCCGATTGGCGTTGAGGACGCGGACCGCGGACGCCACACTGGGCGACCTCTGAAGGCCGCGGCCGGGCCTTCCGCTTCGCCGTGCTTCGCCGTGCTTCGCCTCCACCGGCGCGGCGTCTCCGTCTCCGGAGAGTCCTTGGCGTGCATGTAGTCCATTCCATTCCATTCCGTGGCCGGGCCAGCCGGGCCTGCCGCCGGGCCTGGAGCGTAGTGTAGAGGCGATATAAAGCCTACTGCTCCACTCCTGCCAAGGAATGCTGCCGCGTCGACGTCGTCGTTCCCGAGTGGAGGAGACGGGCGTGGCGGGGCGGGCGGGGCGTGGGTCCAGAAATCCTGGTGGGTACGGTTTAGTCGTCGGCACCCGGTGCGCCGCGCCGGTCCGCGCCGCACAGTGGGCCAGAAGCCGGTGGAGGCGGCCAAAACTCTAGACGCGTTTTGAGCTCCAGAGTCGCTGAATGGGACTCGAACCGACGTGTGACCCCACCAATGGATTGCTCTCCGAACGAGGATCCATGGTGGGGTCACACGTTCGGTTCGAGCCCTTCAGCGACTCTGGAGCTCAAAACGCGTCTAGAGTTTTGGCCGCCTCCACCGGCTTCTGGCCCACTGTGCGCCGGGCCGCGCCTCGCCGCGACCTTGCCGCCGTGCCCGCTGTCCCGGCGTCCGGCGCGCCACTACGCCGCTGCTGTCCCGCTCCGCAATGATATCACTTTCGCGTTGTTGGATCAGCTGCCGTCTTCCTCGGCGGCATGCGCGGCTGGCGTAGCTGGCGTGGCTGGAGGCCGCGACCTCCCCGCGGACCGGGAGTCGCCGGCAGTCCGGGAGGCGACCTCCACCTCGAGGCCCGCGCCCCGCTGCGTCCCGCTGTCCGGCACGCCGTCGACGCGCGAATCTGTCGGAATGAAGCGCGGAGTGAGTGCGGGCCGGGACGCCGGGACCGCACGGGTGCAGTGCGGCGGTGTGGCGGCGCTGGCTTGTTATACAAGCCGTTACAGCAAGGCTGCCGCCTAGTGCGCCGTAGTGCGCAGTGGTGCGCCGCCGTGGTGCTGCTGTGTGTCTCGCACCCTGCCGGAGTCCCACACCCGCGCGGCGAGTGCGGCAGGGACGGAGCGACGAAACGACTTTTCTGAATCGCTTGGCACGCCACGTCGGTGCTGCGCAGTCGTGCGTTCATTCATAGTCGCGAGTGCCGCCGGGTGGATCGAATTTTCGCTCAAGTGTTTGGATGAAATTAATTAGTTGACG